CCGGGTGGGCGGCCTGGACCGGCGGCCTCCCGCCTCGGCCCTCGGCCCTCGGCCCTCGTCCTCCTCCTCCATCTCCTCCTCCTCTTCTTCCTCCTCCTCCTCCTCCTCGCCTCCTCCTCCTCCTCCTCCTCCTCCTCCTCCTCCTCCTCCTCCTCCTCCTCCTCCTCCTCCTCCTCCTCCTCTACTTCGTCCTCCTCCTCCTCGTCCTCCTCCTCCTCCTCCTCCTCCTCCTCGTCCTCCACCCTCCTTCCCCCCTCCAGCCCCTCGGCCTCGGCCCTCGGCCCTCGGCCCTCGACCCCAAGAGCCAGGTCGGGCGTGTCCCCCTACAGGCGGATTTCGGGCGAGATACGAAACAGTTGCCAAGCAATGCCCCCCTATGGTCAAACAGTTGACGACGTATCGAACAATAGTCAAACCATACCCCAAAGTGGTCAAACATGAAATGGCAAAACAACGTCCCCAGACTATTTGTTTGACTATTATTGAATATTCCTCCTGTCGAAGGACACGCCCGACTTAACCCCAGCGTTATGGATGCCACGACAAAGGACACCCCAACTGTCCGATCCTTGAATTTAAAACGTGTTTGACTTGTGGGAGAACATGTTCTAGGCATGCTTTAAACATGGTGTTCAACATGTTTAAGCATGAATTTTATATGTTTTAAACATCTGGAACAAAGATTTGGCAACGCGCTTCCTCTCCATCCATCGTCCACCACAAACCTCGCTCCTCGACCCTCGATCCTCGGCGCCCTCGACACTCGCACCACGCCCATAGATACTCGGCCTTCCACCCTCGAGCGCCGCGAGCCGCGCGAGCCGCGCGACTCTGGGACCCTCCGCCCTGGATCCTCGCCCTGCGGCCCTCGACCCTCCCCCCCCTCGAGCCCTCCAGCCCTCGAACCCTCCACCCCCTCGAACCCTCGACCCCTCGACCCTCGACCCTCGAGCCCCGATGCCTCTGCCCTCGGCCCTCGCGCCTCGGCCTTCCGCCCCAGACCCCCGACGTAATGATTTGTTCATTACGTCGACCCCCAGAGGTCCCGACCCTTTCCCCATGACCGGCTTTGCATCCTGAGTCGTTTTTTGACGCTTCCGAGGCCCGGTGAGGGCCCCCGGTGGCCGAAAATTAGGAAAAACCTCCCGTCGTGATTTTTTCATGACTCGAGGGGGTCTGGGGCCCGGACCTACCCCCCCCCTCCTCGACCCTCGGCCCCCGAGCCTCCCCGCCGGGCGGCCTCCCCGCCGGCGGCCCTCGGCCCCGCGAGCCCCAGCGCCCGCCGCGCCGCCGCTGCCGCGCGGAGGAGAGCCCCCCGCCGGGGAGCCCCCCCACCGCCGCGGGCCGCGGGCCGGCCGCCGCGAGCCGCCGCGGGCCGGCCGCCGCGGGCTGGCCCGCGGCCCCCCGTGAGACGCGGTGAATCCAGTCACCGCCACCACAACATGGGAGACCCTCCTCCTTGTCCTGCCCCTCGTCCTCCTCCTCCTCCTCCTCCTCCTCCTCCTCCTCCTCCTCCTCCTCGTCCTCTTCCTCCTCGTCCTCATCATCTTCCTCCTCTTCTTTATCCTCTTCATCCTCTTCATCCTCTTCCCTCCTCCTCCTCCTCCTGACCCTCCTCCTCGTCCTCACCCTCCTCCTTCCTCCTCCTCCCTCCTCCTTCCTCCTCCTTTTCTTTCCTCCTTTTCCTCCTCATCCTCCTCGTCCCCCTCTTCCTCTCTTCCTTCTCCCCACTTCTTTTTCCCCCTCCTCCTCCTCCTCCTCCTCCTCCTCCTCCTCCTCCTCCTCCTCCTCGTCGTCCTCCTGCTCATCCTCGGCCTCCGCCTCTTCCTCCTCCTCCTGCTCCTCCCGCTCCTCCATCTGGGGGACCGACCGATTATCGGGGACTTGGGCAGGCCTTCCCAAATCGGGCCCGCGAATTGTTCGGGATAGGCCGAGTCCAAATAGGTTCCTGTCTGACGTCCGAAGAGAGTGATCCGGAATCAATCCTGCTCCAGGAGAGGACTGGACAGTAGTTATCTACACGGGGCAGAGTGCGATCCAGGAAAGCTCCAGCTGAGTGCAATCCGGGACCACTCCGGCGCGGAAACGGGAAGCCGGGCTCAGGAGTTGTCTGAGCAGGGACCGACCGTACCGGCATTCCTATAGTCCTACCACGAAATGTTCTTAGAACCCGAATGTTTTAAAAACAAAAACGTTGCTCTTAGAATATCAACCCGATGTGTTAAACCAAGACAGTCCCAACCAGAAATGTCCTAGGCACATTTCGTGGAAACCACAACAAGTTCTTAGAACACTGTTTTGGTAGGGCTGTAGGCGAGCCAGGACGCTTCGCCACTCCTTGAATTGTCCCTGACAACTCCGTGGGCCTTCGACGGCCTCATAAGGGGCACATTCGGCGGCCTCGCGGGGGCCTGGGACTGACCGGTCGGGGCCACGGCTCCTCCCGAGGACAAGGCGAAGGGAGGACGAAGACGACGAGGAAGAGGGCGAGGCGCGCGAGGCGGACGAGGAGGACGAGGACGGAGGAGGACGAGCAGGAGGAGGGGGAGGTTACGGATTACGGGTTGCTGGCGTTCACAGATCCGCGTGGGACACGCCGCGCGTCTACACATCGCTCAGAGAACAGTGGGTCGCGCCAAGTGAGATACGTTTCAAAATGCGCCGGGTAAGTCTCTCTGGTCGGCGCCACGATTGTCCATGATAACCCCCGCTTGTTGAAACATTTCAAGACTTCCTTCTCCCACCCCCATGCCTGGAAACGCTGAGGATGACCTTGCCATCCAGAAAGTTTCGCCGCAGAATTGCGCAAGTTAAAAATCGACCTCCAGGGCAAGACTTTTGCAGGTGATCCGCCGAATGTCCGAAACGCCGTGTCGGACCAGCATTCAAACTGTGCCTGGCGCTAAAGACATCGACTCAGCCTGACATCGCCTCTTTACTCTGGAGGCCAGGAGCTCGCATTGGTCGCAGTAGTCGCCCACTTCTTCGCCAGGAGACTTCTTCATGTGCAGGATGGTTCTCATCATGCGCCGCTGCACACCCGATAAATGCCGCTTTTGGTGGACAGTTAGATTCCAAGCCCCAGATATCCAGACTAACGTCGCCTTGACACAGTCATGTCGAACAAATGCAGCTTGCGCAAAGCTTGTGCGCGAAGAGACCACGCTACTTATTGAAGCACGCCCACGCCTTGGTCACGTGGTGGCCGAGCTCCTTATCGAACGATTTCTCCATGACGAAGCTTGTTCCCAACATCTGGAAACTCTCGTTCCTCCCAGCGCGCGTCACAAGCTTGCTGCCTATGGTAATCTGCATACGGGTATCGTCTGAAGCCGTTGTACACCACGTGCAATCTGCCAATGGCACTGCCCACCCAGCTGTCCTGAGTCTCGCCAGGAAAGCCCGGGCCATCTTCTCCAACATGTGGCGGGGCGTGCCAAGGAGCCAGAGGTTATCAGCAAAGAACAACACACCGTAGTACTCGCCATCAATGCATACCCCTCATTATTTTGTCGCGCACTGTTTGTTGAAAGCCTCGATGTCGGCATCCAAAATGACGTAAACTGCAAATATTAGGAGCGTCGGGTCCGCCTTGGCAGAGGGACCGAGATTGTGAAGTCGTATCGCTGCGAATGTCGCCGGCCACCACCGTCAACTTCCTGCGAGTCTCCCGGAAGATAGCTGCATCCGTGATCTTGTTCAGCCCCTTTTTGCCCAGTCTCTTCGAGACGTTGACATGGTTGACGGTGTCGTATGCCTTGAGCAAATCGCCGTCGAATATGTAACAGCGCGGGCAGTACGTCACTCCATTCCACGTTCTTCTCGGCGAGGTTGCGAAGCATGAAAACGACGTCCAATGCTTGGCGACCAAAGCGGAAAACGGATTGAAATTGGCTGAGATTCTCAAGACGGCTACGTTCAAGCCCCACCAGACAAGCAAGGCGCACCTTCATCAACACGAGGGGCAACAGATTCGAAGAATGTCTCGGGTCAACTTTTTTTCTCACAATGCACTACGCGAACATGTCATCCCAAGCGGTCTCTCAATTTTCCGACCTGTGGCTGAGGAGTCGCAGTTTGAATGCTTGTGCCAAGATGTCGAGAGTGTCCTCGTCCAGACTGGGTAACATATATGCGACGATGTTGTCTTCAGCGCACGTTTCGTTATGAACAAGCTTGCAGACAACACTTCTAACCAAATAGCAGTCAAACTTGAGCAACATATACCACACGTCAGTGTGCCACGACTTCTAAATCCGATCCAGCATTTCTTCGGACGATATCGATCTTGATTGCACAAGTCCTGAAAGTCTGACGTAAGCATGCGGCTCTTCTCTTCCCCCCTGCGGCTCAGGACGAGGAGGGGAATGAAGAGGAGGGAGGAGGCGGAAGAGGAGCAGGAGGAGGAGGAGCACGAGGAGGACGAGGAGGAGGAGGACGAGGAGGAAGAGGAGGAGCAGGAGGGGGAGGCGGAGGAGGCGGAGGAGGAGGAGGAGGAGGCAGGAGGAGGAGGAGGACGAGGAGGAGGAAGAGGAAGCGGAGCAGGAGCAGGAGGAGCAGGAGGAGGAGGAGGAGGACGAGGAGGAGGAGAAGCCCTGAGAACTCGGGGCTCCGACGCTGTCCACCGCCCGCAAAGACCCCCGCCTCGGATCGGGCGCTGGCAGAACTGGGCTCAGTGGGACCTGGTTCAGTGATGTTTACTGGGGGGCCCCCCCCCCCCCCCCCGCCCCGTGCCACCAACCGGAACTGCCGTCACCCGGAAAAAACACAGGTTATGGCAGGCCTGGTTTAGAGGAGGAGGAAGTGCTCCCTTCGGGGATGCGACTCCTGCTGTCGCTCATGCACAGTTCCCACAGTTCCTCCTCCTCCTCCTCCTCATCTCCTCCTCCTCCTCCTCCTCCTGGAAATTCTGGCCAATCTGGAGGCTCCGGGGCCTTTACTGCGGACCGGGTCCTGGCCATACCCGAGCGGACCCAGATGAGGCCTCGGGGCGCGGGCTC